GAGAGAGCGAGTACTGTAACTCATTAGTGTGACTTTTAATGTTCCACTCGTCTGAATGGTTTCAGTGTATCCAGGAATCTCTCTTCTTTCACTCTCTCCGTGCCTTCCCGAACTCCCATGCGCCTGCCCTACGTTTTGCGCCATTTCTGGACCTCTCACACTCCGTCTATTGTATCTGTCCTCCTTCTCCCTTTCTTTTCAAATTCCTCCAGCGCTCCATAGCCGTCACTCTCTGACCCCACCTCCCGACGGCTGCGTCTAAATGGTGCGATTGTGCGTGTGTGTGCATGTGAACGTCTGTGGAAAGTCTGACGTGAGCGCGGAGAGAGTGTGGCTCAACAGCGCTGCTCAATCCAGGAAACTCCCTTAGAACAACAAGGCATGGCTGACATCCAGAGAGCTCCTTTGGAGCCAAAGTTAGTCTCAGACTTCCCTCTTTACACACACACACTCTCGCTCAAAAAACTCTCACACATGCGTTTGGTTCGCCTGGACTCATTTCATTGTCTCAAGGTTTTACTGTCTGTGTGTGAACACTCGATGGCATTTCGGTTCCCCTCAAGGCTGATAGTCAGACTCAGTCCGTCTTCCAACAAGAGGACCATTGTGCACTCCTCTGAGTTCCTAACATTGCATCTACGAATAGAGTCTTCAATCTGTTTTTGAGTTGATTTACTGTGGTGGGATATTTCATCTATTAAAGATTTGGTTTGACAATGCAATAGTTGTCAACTCAAGAACCTATTTATTTATTTTTTTTGTGGTTGCGTCAGACACTATAGCGCTTATTGCCGTATTGCCATAATACCCCCGGTCCTCCGCGGCGTCTTAACGCAGCTGTTCGACTCTATTTGATACTAGTTTACAAGTAGCATTAGTGAGTGTGCTGTAAACCTCTGTGGTATGTCTTCTCTGATTCCTCTTCTGTTTTGGCAACCCTGTTGCTATTCTACAACTATTAGTACATAATATTACACTGTCAACATCTGAAGTTTTGCTGTTGCAGATTGTTGGCAGCGGTGTAGTTTAACTGCAACATTAAACAGCACATGGAGTTAAAGGCTACAGAATAGCATGTTACTTGTACTAATTTTGTAATGCAGTTTTTTGCAGGCATACAACACTCAGATTTGCAAAAAGATGGAGTATGTGAACAAAGCACACACTGCATGGGATTCTGTGCCCCACAATGCAATGCACTCTACTTGATACACTATCAGAGTTTTTGGAAAGAGATTAATACTATTTAGGAAGAATGGAATATATTAGTCAAAGCAAGTGAAAGATGAAATTAAATGTTTCTGTTTCAAAAGCTCTTGAACTGTCTGTTAAAAAAAAAAATATATATATTTTTTATATTTAAAAATATATATTTCGGTTTCCACAAAAATATTAAGCTGCACAACTGTTTCCAAAACTGATAATAATAAAAGATTTCTTATTATTATCAGTTTTGACAACAGTTGTGCTGCTTAGAAGGATTTCTGAAGGATATGTTACACCGACGAGTTCCTAGAAGTGAATATTTTCAGGAATAAATTAAATATTATTGGCCTGGTTTCACAGAAAGTGCTTAGATTAAGTCAGGATGTCACCTTAGTTAATTTAGAACATTTATGTAGCTTTTATGATCTTGCCTTAAAAAAAGCCTTATTCTGCATTTTTAAAAATTATGCTTTTTTTGAGTCGGTATCCTGTATTGTTGAGTTAACAAAAGTTATCATGAGCATTGTAAAGCAGATGTGGACCGGGATTTTTTTTTTTTTTTTTTTTTTTTTTTTTTTTTACGAGCAGTTCATTCATACCTATGCAAGATCACTGTGAAAATGCAGACCGGAAATCAAAAGACAACGAGCATAGCGCTGAAAAAGCGCTGAAAAGTGGCGGGGTTACATAAGGTCTATAGCACTTAGATATTGTTGTCCTACTGTTAGTTTTACTGCTTCTAAAAAACAAAACAAAAAAAATGTCATGGACATAATTTTAAGATATGTCAGTGCAATTTGCTTTCAGTTAGACGGCTCAAACATGAATTTTAGTCTAGGAATAGGCTTAAACCTTGCCTGTGAAACCAGACAATAATATAGCCCTATGAAATTGCTATAATATTTCAATCGCAATGTAATGTTTTTTACCTGTATTTTTCATCCAATCATTAGTGAGCGTTAGAGACTTTCCTCTAATTTTTGCACAGTAGTGTATTCCATTTTAATTATGATGTCATAATGTTGCTTTTTTTTAAAACCTTTTTACTCATTATTTACTTTGACTTGAATTAATGTTTTTTGTCAAATTGGCTTTAAAAATTATATTAGTTTTTTCATAATTTCTCAATGTAACAAATGTGCTGCATCATCATTTGAGACAACGATGCTGCCTGCTACTATTATAGTTGCATAATCTACTGTTCTGATTCCGATTTCATTTAGAATTTTTTTCATATAGTAGGGTTTAAAGGATTCAGCCAGTTCCTTTGCATATATGGTAAATGGACTACATTTATAAAGCGCTTTCACAGACCCAATGGCCACCAAAACGCTTTACTTTTGCCTCACATTCACCCATTCACTCACTCATTCATACACCGACATAACGCAAGCGTAAGGCAAGGCCCCCCAGATATTAGATCAGATTGATGTCACATATTCACGTGTCACATGTGACCGAATTGGCCTTCCCTAAGGGACAACCGTGCTCATTATATTGGTGAACAACAGTTTGTCAATCATAACAGAGATCATTTATATATTCAAATATTTCATTGTTTGATTGCATGGGCATTTGTTTACTAGCATTCTGTAGCAAAACCACTTTCTTGCAAGATTACCCCATTTGATTGGTCTTCAAGCTTTTATTTCACAGGTTTATTTACTCTGATATAAGTGAGCACTTTTACATTACATGTAATGTTATATATTGCACTACTGAGAAAAGCACCACATCCCTACGCTCTAGATGGAGCTGTGAGGTTTCTGTTAAGTGTTCAAGATAAAAGAGATGTGTGTGTGTGTATATATGAGCACATCCATATGGTAAATGAGTGTCTAACAGACACGTTCAAAGAAAACCAATGTGTGTGGGAGATGGAGAAGAGTAAAGGCAAGGTTTATACTCTGTGTGTGCGTTTAAGTGGAAAAAGGAGTTTCATAGGGTGGTTGCTTCGCATTCTCTGTCAGTTAAATGAGAGAAAAGAAGAGATATTTGGGGTCGTGGTGAGCAGACAGAGGTGTGTGTGTGTGAGGGAGTCAACGGCTCTGTATGGACTGTGCATGTGGAGCAGGGGTCTTCTACTTCAGACGAGCACTTTACTCGGTCCCTGAGGCCCCTTCTTTCTTCTCCCTCTTTTCAGCATGTCACAATGAGAGAGCCTCATTTACGGCTAAACAACACACTTTAGAGCCGCCACTTCAAATGACCCACATTCTCCCAGACACACAACACCATCGCCATACACCTCACCAGCAACTCGAAACCATCGGCTCCATCTAACGGCCTACATTTCCCATTATCCTCTGAGACAAAAAGACAGAGATACCAAACTGACTGGCCAAATACTAGCACTGGGAACATTTGATTATAGTGCCGCATTAATGTTAGAAAGAGACGTGTTTAAGTATTTCCTCCTCTAAAGTCCATTTATAACGTTAGTCAAGGTTTCTTCCAACAAAATATTACAAATTTAGACTTAAATGACCATTTTCCACAGATTTTTTCTCCATGTTCCAGTTCGACAGGCTGTTTTTGCTACTGCACTTTTATAACCGTTCATTTTTAAAAAATGTTTATTTAAATGTCTGTTGCAAATGTGCATCTTTAACTTTACATTGTCATATTATGAACAGTAAGCTTGTGGAAAACTTCTTTTTTATGAAAATATTGAGTTCAGAGAGTTTGATTCAATCATCTGATTTATTCAAAGCTGTAGCTCTTATATTTGAGTTGTTTTTTTAAAGGTTTATTAAACGAATTATTCATGAGTCATTTCCAAATAATAGATTCATTACTTTTAAGTGTCTTTGTCGATTTTTTTTTTTTTTTTTTTTTAATCCAAATTTTATTGGATAAGTTGACATTTTGCCTTCATAAATATGCATGATAAGAGTTGCATTTTAAGATATGCATTCAGCATTGTTTTGTCTGTGATCTTATCAGAACTTGCTAACGACTCACCGGTTGAAAAAGTTTAGACGTTTCCTGGCATTTCTTTGGATCCCACAGCACATTTAGCGTTCTGTGTATGTGTGTTTTGTCAGGGTAGGTTCTTTTGTTCTGGTCCAGGAAAAGATTCTCTCCTGCTCTGTTAATTTGCTTTGCTCTGCAGATGTTCACATCAGATGGTTTGAATTAAATGCTAGATTTCTCACACAAGGTCAGCTATGAGAACTCAGTCAGAATACTTCTCTGTTTGCCTCGAGCTGAGAAAGAATTCTAGATGTGAGAGAGAGAGCATGACACTCCAGTCGTGTGAAAATACAAAACTGGTATTTCTCCAGAAGAAACCTCTTATCTGCAGCCCTTTCCTGGATTTTTTTTTCTCTTGTGTGCCCCAACAGCCTCATCAGGAAGGCTTAAATACCAATTCATCAACAGCAACAGCAATTGAAATCCAGATATTTCACAAGTCATTTATTTGTTATATAATGTTAATGAGAAGATGAGTAAAGACATCTGTTGTTGTGGTTGTTGACTGCAAAGTTATTTAAATTTAATTTACTTGTAATTCATTTATTTGTCTATAGTTCTTTTATTTATTTATTTATTTTTTGTTTAATTGGAAGTGTCAAGTATGTTTCCAAAAATCATTCAATATGAAAAAGATATTAATCGTAATTACTTTAATTCATTGACTGCACTAACACTTTCAGTTAATTAATAATTTCATAATTGATGTTTTATAGATTTAAGGAAGTAAGACCAAACTCTTTCCAATTACCCACTGAGGTACATAAATTGCAAGTCATACTGAAAAGTCGAATTTCTTTTTTTTTTTTGTCCTCTAGGTCCCTATTCTCTTTGCTTTGACTTTTTTGGGTCATGGGGCAGCAGAGCTCGGGTTTGCAGGAGACGTCCAGAACCGCACAGCCAGACAGATGAGCTGCATGGAGAACCAAGAGTACCCGCACAACAGCTTCTGCTGCAAGAACTGTGAAGCTGGTAAGTAGCTGACAAGATCCTGTCGAACCGTGACAACTTCTCTTGTAAAGGCAAGTATTGTAAACACAAATCAACTTGCTCAAAGCAACGCCTTTAAAGTCATTTATAGCGTATGCTTGTTCAAGATGTTAAAATCATGTAAAACAGTCAATAAAAATAATTTAATGCATAAAACAAACTATGTTCAGGAACAAATTTCATTTATCATGATTTAAAAAAAAATAGATTCTAAAATATTTTTACCAAAACACTAGTAAAAAATGGTAAATTCAAATATCAATATTTTAATACTAGATGATTAGTTTCTGCATATACTAAGAAAAACATTTTTGAATGAATAAGACTTATTTCATTTTAAGTTTTTACATTTTAATGTGACAAAAGTGGCATTTATTTTACACAGGGCTCAAAATTGCACAAAACATCTTTGCCTAAATGTTGTATTCTGGCTTTAATAATAAAAGTGTTTTAAATTAATTAGAATTTTGAGCACACACTGGTTCTCATTCTTCTCCCATTTTTTGAAAATGATATATGTTGATATTTAATGTCTGTCATAAAATGTTTTCTGTAACACAGGCACTTATGTGAAAGAGAAGTGTAGCAGGGACCAGGAGAAGGGCATTTGCTCCCCGTGTGAGAAGGGCACGTACGCCGAGCACCCCACAGGCATGGAGCAGTGTCTGCAGTGTAGCCAGTGTCACAGAGGTAACATCCTCCAATCTACACTTTCCTCTCCAAACCAGTCATTTTGTATAAAAAACAGGTCCGATCTTCCTCTTAGGGTTGTTTAAAGAAGTGTTTGAGTCCGGTCTGTGACTGGCACTTTGAGATACAGAAATCTCAACCTTCTGCTATTGTAATTGATTGTTCAGTTTTCCAGTAGACAGCCATATGTAGTCTGCACTGACTCTCCAGAGAAGCAGAGCTCTCAGGAATGTAACATTTATACATCTCGAGTGAATAATGGAACACACATGGTCCTCGGCATGCTGGGAAGGCAATAACACAACCCATCGCCGGTGACTACTGGACAAACAATTAACTTCTGGAACTGCTGTCGGAATACAGATATTACAAAAAAACGAAACGAAATCATATAACGAAACTGGCGTCAGAATTCGTTGCTTTTGGAAATTTCGATTCAAGACGGAAAAATGTGCGGCATACTGTGATCTGCGAGCGAGACGGAACATCTCAAGCATGTTGAATCCATCGCAGAATGCTCCATTCTTCTGCAAAGCTATTTAGTCTGTCTCTGGTTCCTCTGAAGTCAAAGCCATCCATTAAATTGCTGTTTATTTTGATTGGACAGCCACGTTCACCGTTTATTAAACCATTTGATTTACCTAAACACTCTTTCCCACAAGATCCTACTGCTTGTTCAGATTCAGACTCTGTTGTAAACACTACATTTTCGTATAAACAAAATCTCGCTCGCCTGTTTAGACAATAAGCCTCCCATAGGATTTGCATGAGGATGGGGACATAAGCAGGCCCCATGAATAGAGTTGAGTGTAGTGTTTCCTGTGCTGGACACCTCACTCCTGGGAATCTGATCTCCTAATGTTACACGTCCTGGGTGTGGCCCCACTCCTGTGTTCTTTCACTAGCCATTTGTGTATGTATGAATGACTGAACTATACTCCAGTGCATGCACCCCTTTGTGTCTGTTGTCCGGGATTGTGTGCATGCGTGTGTTTTAGGATGATGCAGGGTGTGTCTGTATCATGTGCCGTCTTGTTCGGAATCTATTTTGCTCAATTAATCACTCTCAGGTTATTCCTTCTGCCTGCTGAGTCACAAGGGTGTGTTGAAGGCCATGTCCACACGGACACGGGTATTTTTATAACCGTGATTTTTTTTTTTTTATGCGGTTCGGCCGTTCGTCCACATTTTCAGAAATGCCGGTTAAAGTGTTGTCGTGTAGACAGTAAAACCAGGGTTTTTGCCTTGCGACGTCAGAGTATGCACACACGATGCGTCGTTATCCGCCTACTGGAACCTGTAAAAACTTTTTGTTAGGCTTCTGATTGGCCAACGTGGCTTTACGGTTAGGGTTATATCGCCGCCTGCTGGTGTGGCATGCTCTTAATAGCACTTGATAGCGTGTTTTTGCGTTTTTATGTGGACAGGAATTTTTTTATTTTTTTTTAAACATAGGAGGAAAAACTCTATTAATTGAATCTTAAGTGAGTTGAATCTTAAACTGGATCTGTATTGATCCAACATTGATCCAATGATATATTTCACCCTTCACAAAGACCTTTTTTTGTTCTGTGAGGCCCAGAATAGTTCTAACAATTTTACATTGAATATATTTTTTTAATCGAAAATCTGTATTTATGCAAAATTTTATCTTTTAGAGGTGCATTTCAGAGGTGCATTTTAGAGGTGCATTTCAACTGTCTTCTGAAGCAGAGATTAGTTTTAGCATGTATACATTTGATCTAAAGTTGGAACGAATATGCATCAGGATCTGGATTTATTCGACATGCAATTTAATAATGGATTTTACTGTTCAAATGTGCATTTCAGCTGTTTTCTGAGTCGGGTGCTAGTTCTGTACAATTACACGCAAGAATCTAGTTCCAGATAATTCTCTTCATATGTGGATTGAATTTGGATTGATCCAATCATTCACTTCCCCCTTCAGACACGCGTTAAGACTTCTATTTCAGATATAAGATGTTACGGATAGTCACTGAATCATTCTCTCTGAATCTGGATTAATCCAACATTAATTCAGGTCACTATTCATGCATATGAACTTTGCCAAAGCAAAAATGACTTGTATAATTTATTAGTCACATTTGATCTAAAATCCAGATTCAATACAGATATAACATATGGATCCAATTCTGGTCACCCTTTAGAAATTAAGTCTATTGCTTCTCTCCCACTCGTTTCTGGTTTCTTCATCCTTCCCACCCTTACCATACCTATTTGTTTCTCTCCAACCCTTTACAGATCAGATCATGGTTGCAGATTGCACCAGCACAAGCAACACCAAATGTGAATGCAAATCTGGTTTCTTCTGCCTGCCAGACGAGCCGTGTGAAGTGTGCAAGAAATGCACCAGGTGAGTTCCTCTTTCTTTGGAATGTGCTCTTCCCAAAGCAGACAGATTAGACACTCCCAGCCTCTAGTCTCTTAACCTTTCAGCCCTTGCTTTAGATCACCACATCCAATGAGTCAGATCCCTTTCCCACTGATTCACTCTCTCCACCTTTAAACCCTGAGGCTTTCATTGTGCTATTCATAATGATAGCAATTTTACGACTGCTATTTTTAAGCCTTTGGCTGCACACTTTTTCTAAAAGCCATCATTTTTGACCATGGGTTTGCAGGTGCAAAGCTGATGAGGAAGAAGTGAGCCGTTGTACTGCGACATCCAATACAAAATGCAGGAAGCGCACCTCTTATCCGACTGAAGGTCCAACAGACAAGCCATCGGCATCAAATAACACTAATCCTATAGGTAAGGTCCGCACATGCGTATAGACATGGTCCAAAATTAACTTATTTTCTATAATTTATTTTATTATTTTAATATAAGTTAATTGTGAGTAGTTACACTGCATCAGTCATTAACAGAAGGAACATTTTAATCTAATCTTTTATTTTTTTTAGCGGTTGTCATACCAATTGTGGTTCTGATCATATTGATCCTGCTTGGATTATTTTTATGGAAGAAATGTCAACGTCATCAAAGTGGTATGTTTGGAAACCTTTTTTAGTCCTTGTATTGAATAACCAGTGTTGGGTGTGTAATGCATTACTAAGTGATTAATAATAGTGTTATTACTGTAATTTAATTACTTGTCCTTTGAAAAAATGAAAGAAAGCGATTATCCTTAATATTTCTGTAATTACAGTTACTTAAGATGTAATTGCATTAAATACTGTAAAATCAATGATTGTTTTAGAGTTCAAGAAAAATGTATGCAGTTTTTCAAATGAGGCAAATGAGGTAAAGAGGAAACTGTCTGAATAGCCAAAGATGGCTATTTTAAGAGGGAGAATCTGATCATATGCCACCGAATACCAAGACAAAATATCTTCTGAAGAAGTGTCAAGCTATTTGAATAGTACATTGTACAACATTCATAGTATTACGAATAGATCTGCAAAGTGGAAAATCTAATGTGCTTTTTATGGACATACTGTATTTGCTGTCAACTTTATTACAGACACTGCTGGTGATTTGAAAGAAGTGAAGATTCCCATAGTAAGTACCTTTTTTTATGCATTATTTAAAATTATTAGATAAATTTGTTTTGGTTAATATTATTCTGATGCTTTAAATGTAATTAAATTATTATATTTATTTTATAAATTGGTAAAAATGTATTGTTTAATTGGTTACTTTTAATCCATAGTTTTAATCAGTTGTTGTTGCTGCCTTCACTCAGGACAAGTGCCCAAGATCAGAAGAGGAACAAGAGAACAGCCGCAATGCTGGATTAGAGAGGGAGGAGGAGCAACGCCCAGAGTCCCGCCCCTTGTTGACGCAAGAAACCCAGGAAACAGGTAGCAAGAGTATACCTGTGGAGGATGAAGACCGTGGATTGGGCGACAGCTTGCCAAACACAACCAGCTCTTCCCAAACCAGTCTGTCTGCTCTACCTCCTGCTGTCTACATGGAAGAATTGCCTCGATCGAGTCCCCCGGCCCCGAGGCAGACTGAGAGAGATATAGAGTCGTGGGCGAAGGTTAGCAACTTTTCAGGGTCTTTTCAGATCAATCGCACAGATTTTACACCGCTAAATACCATGAAACGACAAGATGGTGCCTTCAAATGTGTGAAAAGATCCTTGTTTTGAAGGGACTGCTGAATGGTCCTGTTAACTAAATTCAACCTTCTTTTTTTTTCTTTTGTAGGATGACTGTCCTCCCAGAAAACTTGTTCCTGTACTTGGTAAGATATTACTCCCTCCAAAAAACAAACAAAAAAACAACAACTTGACCATCAGTACAACATGACAACATAACAGTTCTCTTACAAGAGGTTCTCCCGTACTGCGTAATATCTGACGCTAGGGGGAAAGGGGGGACCTCCCCCCCCCTTGTGCCCACGAGTCGTCAGGGAAACGGGCCAGCATCGAATCTGAGCTGATGCGTCTGCTCTCACAGGCCTTAGTGTGCCTTGGCCTTGAGTGGGCGGCAGCCCCGTACAACTGACTGGATGGATGTTTCCTGCAAAGGGACCGCGCTCCACCATCTTCTAGGCCTGTGCCTTTTCTTCCTGAACTTCATAAAGAAGTCGCGAAGTCTTTGAACGCCCCCTTCTCCGCAAGAGTGCATTCCTCTGTCCCAGCAGCATTCTCCGTGGTGGACAGTGCTAAAGACAGAGGACACCACTCTCTTCCTCCAGTAGAAGAAGCTATAGCGACCCATCTTTGCCCGATCTCTGCTAGACGGCGAGCTAATACAGCGCTACCTACCTACCTAACTTCCGCTACGCATAGCCGTGCTTCTACCGCCGCTGGGCAGGCTGTATCGGCATTACACTCGATGGTCGTACTGCAGATCTTCCAAGCCGACCTTCTCCGAAAACTGGATGAGGAAGGACCGGAAGCAGCGCTACAGACCTGGTTCTTCTCCAGTTTGGTCTGCTTCGCATGCGTTCCGCTGAAGTTACGGCTAAAAGCGCGAGTACCACCTCGGGCATGGGCCTCTGGTCTGTTTCGCCTCAAGGTCGATCAGAAATGCGTCACAGCTCTGAAACCTTGGAGAGCAATCGACTATTACCAGTCAGGTGTAAACTCAGGGACTTCCTCGAGTGTGAAGATGGTGTCCACGGATGCCTCCACCTCGGGATGGGGAGCGCTGAACGAGGGCAGACCGTTCTTTGGCCGATGGTTAGAACGGGATAAGCTCCTACACAAAAACTGTCTAGAAATGATAGCAGTCGACAATGTGCTGAGGTGTTTTTGTCCTCGCATAAAAGGTCACCATGTCTTGGTCCACTCCAACATGTCAGTGGTGGCCTACATAGGTAGGCATTTTGCAGACCTTTACAGGCTGCCAGAACGCCTCCTGGTCTGGGCTCAGGCTAAAGGCTGGCAGTGTCCTTTGTGTGTCAGAGCACACTCCACAAGATTACCTTGCAGGATATCTGTATGGTGGCAGGCTGGGCTTCCTCGTCTACATTTCTAAGGTTTTAAGGTTACATTTATAAGGCTAAACTACTTTCGGTCTAAAGATCAGTACTGTCTTCCCCGTTGCTTCGGCGAACCACGCCCTGGTTTGCTTCGCCGGATTATATTAGCCCATCGAGCTGTATTTATAGGCCCAGGCCACGCCTGTCTCGGCGGGACGTATTGGGCGCGAAGTGCCCCCATTGGATCTGACGTCACCAAGGGCCTCTCTCGAAAGGCTGCTACTCTTACCGCAGGACAGCCAATAGGCACGCAAGCCTATGTCTGCATACTGCCGTAACGCGTTTTACATTAATTCAAAAGATATTACGCAGTACTCGTTCCCTCTTCTAGAGAGAACCGAAGTTACGTTAGTAACCGAGTACGTTCTTGGTTTTATTGATATTGTATGTGTCTTTATTGGTTCAGTGACTGGGTTAGATGGTGAATTAATTCAGATGAATTCAGACTTTAATGATTTAGTGAGTGAGTTTAGACACAATAGAAATATGTTTTGCCTATTTTTTTTTTTAAGAAAAAAAGTATATTATTCTGAAGAATGCAAATGTTCAAGAACCATTAGATAAATAAGATGCACAATAAGTAAGATACACTTTCAAATAAGAGAAGATTCACTTCCATTCAAAAGTTCAGACTTTTCAGAGGCCATTACTCCAGTGTTTTCTTATTACTGTCACTCTTGAAAACATATATATATATAAACTAAAAAAATATAACTATTTTGTAACGTTATAAATGCATTTACTGTGACTTCTGATTAATTTGCTCTATCCTTAGTGAATAAAAAAAATCTTTAAAAAAAGTTAATACCCCAAAACTTTTGAAAGGTAGTGTTTTAATTAACATTTAATCTAAAACTATTCCTGTTTAAGTATTTAATTATTCCTAACCACACAACATACACTATTTATCATTATAATTGGTTAATTTTTAGTTCATATTCCAGAAATTGGCCATTTGACAATTTCTGAAGTCTCTATGCTTTGGTTTAAAAGGTGAGGAGGAGTCTCTGAGCAAGAGTTTCGACCTGTTTGACACCCTGGACGTGCGGTACCACAATAAGTTCTTCCGGAGCATCGGCGTGAGCGACAACGCCATCAAGGTGGCCGAAACAAATACCAATGACAAAGTCTACGAGCTACTGCGGGTGTGGATGCAGAAAGAGGGCCTGCGGGCAAACATTAACACGTTACTGCAAGCTCTTCTGGACCTAGACCAGCGATATTCAGCAGAAAACATAGCCTCCAAGGCTGTTGAACGAGGCTTCTACAAATATGAATGATGTCTTTTCAAGACTACAAGACAGTTGTCGAGTAAAAGAACAAAATAATTGAGAGGTGTAGATTCCTTTTGAATTCTCTCCAATGGGCCTGTGGGTCTTATTGGATGAACCTGATGTCCCGTCACGGAGACATTGGTGAATCGCCTCTCTGTAGCGCCCAGCCCACGATGGGTTTAGAAGCCAACACTGGACCCTTTTCCAAGGATTTACACTGGCTAGCAGTAGAGGGCGCTGTGTTCCCTCTAAAATGTGCATTCTAGTGTTACTTGATGCACTGGCCTCAGTGCATTGTCGATGAACTCAAATGAACAAATATGCCTTAAGATGAGCTGTGGGTTTTGAATTTTAGATATACCTTTATGTCAGCAGTTTAGGGTTACATTTGAAGTTTAGAACCATTCATTTTACTTTGGTTGTTACAGAATATCTCATATGCTAGGCTGCCCTCGAATTATGCCAGTCTGTGAAAGGTGATTTTTGCCACACACATCCCCAACTCCCTCCCTCCAATGACGTTTCTCCAAGGCTGAGTTGTTCTTCACCTTCTCCACCTTTCTTGCCTGTTCCGTTGTTATATTTAAATAAGTGACGTATTTATTTGTATTGTGTAATAACGTATTATTTATACCTGTTACCAATATTCACCTACATTAAGTGTTCCTGGAGCATTTTTGTGCCGTAACTGAGATGTTCACAAGACAAATCCTTTCCGGTCCTTTTACAAGCGGATTTAGAGCCATATCCACATAGTTTTTTCTGTAGCTAAGACATTTCTGAATTAACCCTGAGCATGTCGCTTACTATACTCATCATCATTGTTTGAATCAGAAAAAGCGTCCTTCGTTGTGGACATGTTGTTGATGTGTATGATGAAAGATAAAGAAAAAGCTTGAAAGAGTGCCACAGTCAGTATCTCTTGGGTGCTTGTAACTGCTTCCACAGGTTGCATTAATGTCAAGGATAAGGAGGCATTTCAAACTTCTGCTCGCTGTTCTTGTTTTTTTTTTTTTTTTTTTTTTTTTTTTATGGGGTAGTGCACAGGTACGTGTTTTTAAAATAGCTAAAAGATGAAGGAAATTTATGCTCATCCAGAAACTACTAGCGTTTTATCTAGTATGTACATAGTCAAGAATTCTATTAAAGGAAACTAATAGATATATATTTATGGAAGCCCTAAGAGTGTAGATGTAATGAAGTACTGCCTAAAAACCAAACAGAAGGAACAAATTGAAATTTAAAATGAACAAACGGAATAGATGTTGTCTAAATAAACATGGCTTCTAAATCAATTTTACACATCAGTGAATGAACTGTGACCTCTGACTCGGCTGTATAGCTATGTAGATGTATCGGTGTATGAAATAGGATGGATATATTTTATGGAAAGCTGAAATCAGGTCAGGACAAAATGGCTCCCCATCCCAATTGAGCTTCCCCATTTAATTTTGAAATTGTAGAGCTAACATACAGTGCAGGCACTGCCACCTATTGACGTAGAGTTGAATAGCAAGAGAAAACCTGCATCAATTTCAAGGGACCTTTTTTCACATCTTAACTATTTGTTTGTTTTTTTCTCACATCTTTTATCTTTTTGCACTGAATTTAACATTGAGTGTCTGTTCAGATGTAAGTGCAGGAGCTCGAGCAGCTCATGCCATCTTTGTCTGTTTTCTGAGGTTTTTATACATGTTTTTAGTGTTATATTGAAGCCACATTGTTTGTGCCTTAATGCCTCTAACATACAGTAGATGCATGCCTCAGTGCTCGCTCTTTCTACACTTTATTTTCCACAATATCTCTCTACGAGTAGAAGTTTTGTATCTGCTTTTTTCCCCTTAGACAATTGTTTGCTCGTTTGTGAATGTCAAATGTTTGCTGTTGCAAAGTTGTTTGTAGAATGTTTTTGTTTTAAAACAATAAAAAAAAAAATACCAAAAACTTTCCATGGCAAGTTCATCCATCAGAAGTTCAAGAAAGAAAGAAAAGTGAATTGAATTTTTATTAATTTGTTAACATGCGGTGGGTTACATTTCAGTCTGAGTTTTGATTTTAATTGGATGGATAATTCATATTTAAAATGCCTTTAATGTCAATGTTTGTATTGTTATTAATTATCAATATTAATTGTTTTATATATATATATATATATATATATATACATACATACACTATATTTATATATATATATATATTGTGTGTATATATATATATAGTGTATGTTTGTGTAAATATATATACATGTGTGTGTGTGTGTGTGTGTGTGTGTGTGTGTGTGTGTGTGTGTGTGTGTGTATAAAATGTTTTTCTTCAAAACACATTGGAACCATTCCTCCATACAGAATTCTCAGATTCATGTTGGCGCTTCTTCTCTTGAGTTCTGAGACTAGGAGGGCCATTGCAAATTCTTGGTTTTGTGCTCAGTGACCCATTTTTGTTTTGAAGTTTGTTTTTGGATCACTGTTCTGTTGGATGATCCAAACATGGCATATTTTAATAGCCTATTTCTAACACAGGCTGTCAGGTTTTCATTTTTTATCTGTTTGTAGTTGATCGAATCCATGTATCTGGACAAGATGTCCAGGACCTCTAGCAGAAAATTAGGCCAATGGCATTAAAGATACAGCAGAGTATTTCATTTTACACATGGGCTAATTTTTTTTTTATCCATGTGCATCAACTCTTTTTTTTCATCTGTGAAAATCATTCTAAATTGTAAAAATACTGAATATTTTCTGCAGGGGATCGAATATAAAGTTTATATAGTTTAAAATTATTATGTTTATAAAAGTCCCCATAAAATGTTTGTGTGTGTGTCTGCCTTTTATAAATAGTGGTGCCTTACAATATTTTTATTGCACTATTTTACTCTATTTTTATAGTGGTCCTTTCAAATCTTCTTGGTCATGTCAAACATGTTCCAATCAATGAAACTGTCCTGCGGCAACACAATTTTATGACTTATGACCACCGGAGCCAGCGATGCACGAACTGTCAGACGGTCCTCAAACAGAATGGCTAAGCAAGCATTCAGCACACCATAAACTCAAAAACAGGTAAGGGCTCTACTTTATCCCTAGCAAATATTCACAGCTGCAAAGACACACAGACACTCTCTTAGCTAAGAATGCTGAGCACAGGCAGGATTCAGGGTGACACCTGAAATAGCAGGGAAGAGCTAAGCAGAGATGTAAAAAAAGCAAAAATTGGAACATTGTTTTGTAGAATGACTTCAGACAAAATACAAAATATGTTTAAAAATAACACACACAATCTGTCTCTAATAACCTCCAGTAGACTTTGGGCCATCCATGGAGACAGAAACCACATTACCCAAGGCAAGAGGCCGCACACACTCCTAGATACCAGAAAATCATCAAATAATCTTATGTGTTTCTCTCCACAAACTGACATTAAAAGACATTGTTCTACAAATAATCCACTCCAGCAAGAAAACAATAACCATAGTTTAGGAAAGGTGCACAAATAAATGATCTTCTCAGAATGAACCGAAACTAATGATGTACTGTAGCTGTTCTTCAGAAGCTCAAAAACTGGAAGCACTTCAAAAACATCTCAATTTGATTCATTGGTGACTCACTCCAATCTTTGTCGTGTAGTATTAACAGAGCTCCAAACGCAAAAACATCTCTCAAATGTCTGAAAACTGGGACCTGCGGGTTGTTGAATCCACATCATTAGCTGTGGGAGACATTCCGAGAGCAAAAATACTAAAGTTGTGAATTTGAGATGGTTTAAAACTCTCAAAAGTTCACTTTCCCAGTATCACTGTGAGAGGCTGGTCAGAACTAGACGTGCTCTCTGTGTGTGGAGGGTCAATGACGCTAAGTATCATACTACTGGAGGTCTTTTTGGATCTGATGGCACTAAGAAGATTCATGGGGGGAAACATGTTAGACACAGGCCTCTCTGGTTCAGCTTCCCATGCAGGTTTACTCCATGACCTGATCTCTCTTTGTCTAGATGTTGTCTCCAGGACCCGCCTGGGTTCGACTGACTCCACTGTTGATATGCCCACTCGTTTGTGACTCGTCCAGGACCAACAGGAACACACGCTACAGCTGCAAACTCTTCCGCCGAAGCTCCATCCTCGGGTGAGCAGAGCTAGTAGGTCCCTCTTGAAGGTGGTGTTGAGGGCGGCATAAACCAATGGGTTACACACCGAGTTGCTGAATCCCAGGATCTGAACCACACTGACCAGGAGAAACTCAGAGTCAAGATCAAGTTCCAGCTGACCTGTGTTTCGAGAACAGACACGCAAGGTAAATTCTAAAGCTGTAAGACAATTTACCCACAAATCAAGAAAACTAATTTCATAAAATTTTGAATTTCAGGATTTGACTATCCATGAAAAATAATATCAGGATTGACTTTTGGGGGTTTGACTTGTTTGTGTTTAAAAACATGTTTGTGATTAAAAATTTTTTTTTTTTTTAGCAAGCTTGAGATGCAAAATATGAGCGTCACAGATATATGGAAAATATGTTTAGTGTCAACTAAATTGTTAGTTGTAATCATCACAATGGGCTGGCTTTATGCCCAGCTGCACTACTTCCTGAACTTCAGCCAGCTGCTTGTTTCCTGTCTGCCATTATTGGTCAAATTGATTAATTCAGGTGTGCTTGACCTCAGTAGTCATGGCAACAATAATCAGACGCACCTGAATTAATCAATTTGGCCAATAATGGCAGACAGGAAAAAAGGAGCTGGCTGAAGTTCAGGAAGTAGTGCAGCTGGGCATAAAGCCAATTGCGAGTGTGATATAACATTCAAAAATACAACATGTTTTTGGCACAATATTGGCAGTTAAGACCAAATGACATCAAAAGCAATCACAATAAAGATAACTATATAGAATTCACACCAATGCATGATAAAGTTCTGTTTATTATAAGCGCACACCGCAAATATGACTTCTGTCGATTTAAATGGTCACTTGTTCAAGTTGAATTGATTCTGATTGGCTGTCAATGTTCGTATTGTTCATCGACTAGAAAAAAAAATTGTTCTAAAAATGATTCCAATGTTATCTTTCCTCTGTGGCGTTATCGTTTTAGTTGTGTTGAGAACTTCCTTAATCTCATAGAATTAGAATGATTATTAAAACTTTATAGCTATCGTCCTTGGTGTGCACAGCCCTGGTGTACACATAGTTCCAATCAAAGCCACAGTAGAACATTGTAAGTCCCCAAGCAGTACCGTGGTGTTTTTTTCTTGAATGTTTCTTGAATTCATTTCGTCTGCCATTTTTAAATTCCATTTAGATGGAATTCCAGGTCACTTTGGGACAGCATTGACTTCCATAGTTGGAAAAAAAATATATACTATGAAGTCAATGATGCACCAGAACTGATCATTTTCCAACATTCTTCATAATATCTTCCTTTGTGTTCAACAGTACGAAGAAATGTTTACAGGATTGGAGCAACCTGAGGGTGAGTAAATGATGACAGAATTGTTATTTTTGGGTGAACTATAACTTTACACATTTCTCACTGAAAATCTTTTTAAAAGAAAAAGGAGAATATTGACAATTAACATATCAGTCACTGTAACAATGTACACTGTAGAAAGTGTGATTGGTGATGCAAACTTGTTAGTGTCGCATATTCTTTTTTACTGTTACATTTAAACCTGCATTTCCAAACAGGAGAGGCTAAACACACAATATGTCTCAGACAAATGCTTTTGAAAGTCATTTTACTGGAAATGGAAGAACTGGTTAAATCGTCTTCAGTGCTTTTGTTGCAGAAACACGTGAACCATGGAAAGAACCATGTTGTGCACATGACAATGGACTCCTTCCACATCGTGCACTCCATTGTCGTGCACAATATGGTCCTTTCCATGGTTCACGTGTTTCTGCAACAAAAGCACTTCAGACGATAATGGTAAGGATAATGGTTAAAATATTAAACCAGGAAAGGACATTTATGTATACTGTATAAAAGACTAAGGGGCTGTTTACAAGACACAATTCTCAACTAAAAAAGCAAAACATACTCTGTTACTGACGTAACCTCTGTTTTACATTTGAATTAATGTAAAAATGTATGTACTTCACCAAATATACTTTACATTTGGTTTAAATTATAACTTTTAAACAAGAATTACAATAACGAAAGACTTTTATTAATTATTCATTTACTGATTTTAATAAGCATCATCATAGAGTAAATTAGGCACATAAAATGTTGCTAGACATTTTTGCAGATTTTGTTAATGCATTGTTTTATGTAGTATGAAATATTTTGTTGTCAGATGTTTGAAAAATAACAATCTTTGTATAGAGTCACTGATAGCTACTAAACCAAACTCACAATAGTTGATAGTGTTAAGTGTGAGACAATGGATTAAAAAAATTGTAAATTGTTTGCCGATGGTTCAGAGGAATGATCTGTTGACCCTCATATGTTTTGAGGAGAGAGTAAAAGAAGAAGAGAATCTGAATGTTTTATGACAGGAAAGACAGCAGCTGGTTGACAGACAAAAATGTAAAATTATTATTATTTTGCATTACCTGTGTGAGAGGCAGAAAAAACAGGAAGATTGACAACAGTAAGCAGGAGGGAAGGGTACAAGAAATGTTGTGTTACCATAGTCAAGCAGGAGGGAGACCAGATGGAAAGGTGCCCAGCAGGAAGCAAAGAGCAGCACCACGGTGGCCATCATTCTTATTGCACGCTTCTTCCTCCTGAGAATGAAAGGCATTTCTATTGTTACACACATGTCATTAAATACAGGGTGTCAATCAAACAGCATTTCAAGTACCAGTCTACCAAGATCATCTGATCCAAGAGCAACAATCTAGAAGCTACACAATGCTTGAAATGGAAGCATCTGCTCATTGGGCCTCTAAAAAGCAGCGTATAATTAAACGGCACATATATTCAATCATTACAAAAGGCAAAAATGACATGTAAACATTTATTTAACCCATTCCAAGTTAGTGCACACATTAGGAGAAGTGAGTAGTGAACACAAACATATTAGACTGCAAACCCTGGACACACACCCAGCCATTTTTGCCATTGCGCCTGGAAAGAGTGATTGGGGGTTCGGTGCCTTGCTAAAAGGTCTTCAGTGTTTTTGCTATGCTCACCCCTGAGCATAGCAAAGATATTGAGATCTGTTTGATTAAAACATTCTTCTAAATGAGTAAATACTGACAGAATTTTCATTTTTAGGTGAACTAACCCTTGAAGAAAGAATGACATGGACATCTTCGATGACATGATGGTGAGTAAATTATCAGCAAAAGTTGTTTTTTTTTTTAAGTGAACTACTCCTTTAACATTGTATAGCAAAATACACAAATACAAACAACATGCATAAGCATACTAAGGTAAATGACGTTCATTCTTTGTCAACTGCACGGCTCTGGAGTGGATTTATGACCCAAATACTGAAGTATTTCTAGATATTCACATATATAATCGACCCTAAACCAGTAACGGATAAATAAAACTCACTTTTCTCATTAGGACGTACAGTTAATGTTCAACACAAACACTACACCGCGACCTCTTGAATAGTCGTGCTGTGGACTGTGTGGAGAATGAATGCAGCTGTTTTTTATCACGCGCATTTCTCGTGCGCTATCACTTCCAGCCCATCCACTAGATGGCGCATTTGCGCTACCTTTATTTTTGATCAAGTGTCGTTTTGCCAAAATTAGGCATATTATGTTTTTTTAACCAAGCATTTTTGGAGTACTCTCTTTAAGACTAACCTTGAAATCTTGTTGATTTCAGATCCCGGGAGTGTTTGAAACATAACATCATGCACTTTGTGTTTGCCCCAAAGCTCTCGCATGATCTTCCAGTACAGGATGGCCATGGTAGCCAAGGGTACCAGGAACACTAGCACGGACAGGCAGGTAGTGTAGGCTCTCCTCTGCTGCTGGCTTGGCCAGACTTCCAAACAACACGTGTAGTGGACATCAAACAGGAAGTCATATTTCACCTGGATAGAGGAAATTCATTATGTGACCCCTTCATTCTTCTATCATGTTTCTAAAAAAAAAAGTCAGCTATAAGGGTCTGATTTACTGACTGACAGGCATTTCTAATGAGTAAAGTGAGCTTTTGATCCTACTCATGGAGTTTATCTTCTGGTTAAACAGCGTGACATCAATGACCATTTGATTGGAGTGATTCATGCAAGACGTCTTTGAAAAATAAGAGCTTATAGATAACATGAAAGATGCATACTCGAGAACAATAAACATAAAGCAAAGACCCAATATGTGGAAGGCATTACTATCTCAATGAAAACACATGAACATTGCATTTGAAACCCTCAATGGTCTCTTCTAGGCTAGCACAGCAAGAATCTAATTTGAACCTATTGTTGATGCATCTATTGTTTCTAGCGGCCGCTGCCGTGCATAATAATTACTGAATCAAGTGGCTATTGATCTGATCATATTTAAACTATCAGCAGCTTTTTTTTTTACTATTTCTTTCATATCATCTTTTGGTTTAATAATTACAAACCATTTAATAAATTCACTGAAAACTAGAACATTTGTTTCTTCCCTCAGATAGATTCAGCTGATTCTACTATATAAGATGAATACTGATGTTTCTGTCCCAGTTCACTGTGTTGCTTGTCTCTAATTGTTAATGACTTGAGTTTTGTCTGTGACATAATGTCCAGCAGCAAAGTGTAAATGGCCTATTTACTCTACAAACAGTGGTCTCTGTAGTGGTGATGATAGGGATTGTTCTAGAAATGACATGTGAATGTAGTATTTTTTTTTTAAGGTCGCACATTTACCTCCACTTTCTGGACAAACCACAAGGGAGCTGCAATTGCCAGGGCAACCAACCACACGGCCACTGTAAATGAGGGAAAAGACATAATATTTGTTGTTTTCTAGAATTTTAAATGTCAGTATTGTCTTGTTCAGGGTTTTCAAACTGAGGTCTGGAAACCGCAAGAAATCCGAAACTAAATTTGAAAATATTATTTTTCAGTCTGCTTTGCAAAAAACAGGTCAGACATTGTGAAATTAATTGTGTTTTTTTCTTTTTTTTTTTTCTGACAGTACTAGTATTTAAAAGAATGAAAATGCAAATATTTTGTAGGACATAATATTTTTAGTATATTATTGGGTATATTATTTGTACTACATTATAATATGTGAAACAAAAATAAGTTGTTGTTTTTTTCCCACACATTGTAAACGGGTGTTTATACATTAAAATATATATTGTATATTTTTTTAACCTTTAAAAGCATACCTTGGGTCTTTAGTGACCCGGGACGTTTTTTTTTTTTTTTTATTAGTCATTAACCTTCTTAGTATTTCTAAATCAGTTCATAATAAACAATATAACAAGAAAAAGAAAAAAAAATACAAAAGAATGCCTGTTTTCCCATTAATTCTTTATGAAAAATGTATATGGCCGCTAATGACCTAAGGTTTGTAACAGTGTAAGTATACATTTTTTTTTTTTTGAACAACAGTCATTGAATATTTGATCACTGAATAAGTGCAATTCACCTTTATTCCACAAGTGGACAATGTCTGATACACAATAGCTGTGTCCCAATGTTAAGACTCCATCCTCCGAAGGCCGTATTTGAAGGCCGACTGTGTCACAGCGGCGCGACGAAGGCTTCCCTGATTCAAAAGCGACACCAAATGCACCCTTCATTTCCCCATGAAAGAGAGAATACTCAGGCTGCGTTCCAGTCCAAAATTGTCATGCCCTTCACTAGCTAACTTCCCTCCGTCTTGTTCACTCGGATGTATGTCATTGCTTACCTTGCATGAGTGCCCACTACCTGGTGGAAACTCTAATTGGCTGAACAGGAATGTCCTAAGACCCTTATCACTTGGAATCAGCCATGGAGTTGATTTATAAAAAAAAAAAAAAAAATCCCCTATAAGAATTTGTTTAATGCAGCATCCAAATGTATGTACTGTAGTTGTGTTTGGGTTGTTTTAAAAAAAAAAAAAACTATATATATATATATATATATATATATATATAATTAATATATCAGAGTTGTTTGTGGTGGTGGTGGTGGTGGTGGTGGTGATTGGACGACGTCACAATTGTTCCATTGTGGTATATGGAGCTGCCTGAAGTGTACATATGAGCTGTGTCTGAAATCGATCCCTGTCCACTATATAGTGCACTATACAGGGTGTCGGCCATTTTGCAGTGGTGTCCGAATTCTGAAAGATCAATATCATTCCATTCGTTCCAAGCGGCAACATTCTAATCTGAAAAATTAAGCCTACACGGAAGACGGAAGTGAGAAAAACGTGCATTAAAAGGGGTGCATTAAGTGCCCTTATGACCTATTAGAGGATCGGGAAAACCTTAGCAAGAACTTGCATTGAGGGGCACAAGGGCGCAAGAGCAGATATTGGGACTGGGCCATAGTGCACTCAAATGCCATACATTATTTAAGGATTAGTTAATGAGTGAACAACTGAGCGGTTTTGGACACCGCCATGAAGTAGACTCTCTCTCCTCGTCCACTTCACGAAGTGGAACGCACTTCAAATCGGTGGCAGGGATTCCCCCGAGGGGAAGTGCTTAGGCAAGTTAAAAGTGGATTGGAATGCAGCGATAAATAGATCCTAAGGGGCCTATTCCTCCCCATAAGTCATTGTGTTGGTGACGACAGCATTTTTATTACAAAAAATAGGCGGCCAAGAATTCGGTGGTGGACGGCAAATTCACATTTAAATGTAAGTATTATGTTTTCATTTATTAAATAGCTAGAGAAACCAGAGTGCTTTGCCCTGAAGAAGACCACTTGTTTGTCATGTACTTTGATTATGCCACATTTAATAAAGGGTTTTTAACTGTATCCTTCTCCTCATTGAAGACTTGACTGAGTGCCTGTTCTTTTGTTAATTTCTGTTATAGATTTGGGTCGCTAAAGACCCGGATATGGAATAATGATTGGCAAAACATTCATGCATTTAAGGGTTAAGAGGACTCCATCCTTTATACAAAGTTCTTTCGTGAAACTCGAGATGGTGCAGGCTGATATGTACTTAAGTTAACTTGCTTGCAATCAAATCGTTATCTATAGGTCAAAGCTTATTGGTTACTGCTGTTTCAGTAGCCAATGAGATTACATGCTCAACCTTCAAATACTTGGATAGCATTAGCCTTAGCAGTGCAGCGTAGAGTGTTTTCAGAAACTGTCCTTCTTCCCCAACTATAGAGCTGCTACATGTATGCTATATTTGTACAGCATAGCAACCTAAATTCAATCTGTTCATCATATAAACCATTCAAGTCTTTTCAGAAAATTTTGACTAAACCACTCAATTCATATGGATTAGTTGCACGATCTCTTCATGAACTTTTTGAAGCGTCAACGTTCCAGTTCTCTCTCTGATTTCATCAAAATTATAATCATTTGTGTTCCGCAGATGAACAGAAGTCTTACATGTTTGGAATGACATGAGGGTGAGTAATTAATGAAATAACTTTCAACTACCTTTAAATGCATTAACAAATTTTAAGTCTGGCTGCTAATGTAAATGTTAATAACCACTAACCACCAAAAATCTTTCATTTCTTTCTCTCCATAACTCACCCAGCATCTTGAAGGCATGACAGAGAAAATAGTTGTTGCAGACATGAAGAGGATAAAGGATTCCCTGGAAACGCTCTACAGCAATACACGTCATGGTGAGCATGCTGGTCGCTATAGCTGTCACTTGTAGGAATGGTATTAGCTTGCAGAGAAAATCTCCTGTAGATGAAAAAAAAATGTTTTAGGAACAGCAAATGAATCAGTGAGACAGAAATTGAGTGAGAGAACAGGCTAATGAACTAAATAATTCCAGATGTACACAACGGATACTTAACAATAAGGCATAGGATACTGAGACTTTCGGAGAATGGCTTACTAACAGAAGGAAATGTGTGGGCAGTAAATGTATGGTCTTTATGGACAATGATGAGGACAGAAGGCAATAGAGCACAGGACCACATGCATGTTCTTTTCTGACACAATGATCCTCAAAATTATTATATCACAGATTGGGTTTGTGTTGCCATGGATTTGTGGAGCAGTCTTAGTCCAGCTTTCTATAACCCTTATTTTCCAACTCACTTCATGCTGATCATGACTGTCCTTCATTGTGCTGTGCCATTAGATTAAAAGGTCAATAACCCTTGACAGAATCTAAAATATAACATGACGGATGCTAATGGCACATGCAATGCAAACTGCAAACTATGTCTGATTTGTAAAGCAAATGGCAGCCATAGCTTGGTCTTACTGTTAATTGAAGTTATATTTATTCAATGTTTGTTTTGGTTTATGTCAAGTGTTAAAATTTTGGCTGGTTGGTAGGCCCTGCTTGTAGATATTGTCCCGATCTAGCAGCTTTTTTTTTTTTTTTAATTGGCGGCCAATCAAAAGTAGCCATGTATTATGATGAAATAATGTCCAGAACTGAAAAAAAAAAAAAAAAAAAATGCATCAAATATTAGATTTTATAAATAAAAATCATAAAGCTGTATATCTATGCATTGTATCCCATTGTGATCAGTAAGTTGTTGTTTTTTAGAGAAAGATTATACTTTTATTCAGAAAGGGCACATTAGATTGATCAAATCTGACAATAAATACTTTTAAATAAAAGAATAAATACTGTTCTTTTGAGTATTCTATTAATCAACAAATCCTGCTAAATCAGTGTTTTCAACTGATAATATTAAGAAATGTTTCTTGAGCATCAAATCAGCATATTGGAATAATTTCTGAAGGATCATGTGACATTGAAGGCTAAAGTAATAATGCTGAAAATGCTGCTTATCCATCACATAAATAAATTAAAATTTTAAAATATATTAAAATAGAAAGCTGGTGTTTTAGATTGTAATATGCAGTATTAATGTATATTTATATTTTCAGTAACAATAATACAGTTTTTGCTGTCAAAGAAATCAAATAAATACGGCCTTGGTGAGCATAAGATACTTTTTTCAAAAACACTAAAAAATATATTTGAACACTGTTTCTACAACAACACAAGCACATTAACATTTGTTGTTTACACAAACGTTGTTGTTATAGAAATATGGGCCGCTGCAACTAATAGGATTCCAAGAACTTCGGGTAAAGAGCTCATTTACAATTCAACTGCATGTTCCATTGATCTCGGTTAATCAATGGTGACCTTCCATCTTAACAATAAGGCAATGGCTACTTGTAACTCTAATGTGAGAGTACTTGTTGTACGTAATTAAAGTGTTGAAAAACCATACCACAAATACAGATAAATGTCAAGTGCACATAACATGCAGATGTTTAAACACAACAGTGGCTTTCTAGTCTTAGTGAGGCTGTTTCTGGTCACAACAACTCATTTATGGATGACAGCTCCATTGCAGACATCGTACTTTTAGGAGGGCTGTGAATTAACACAATTCAGCCATTAGCACAATTTTGATGGCTAAAAAAAATCCAAACCTGAATTTCAACTATTTTTGCGCATGCAATTAAAGTAAATGGGGTCTAAAACAACATTGGAGCTTTTTGACATGCATTTTATGGTTGAAAAAACAAGGAGGCATTTTTCATTTTTCACTGATTTGGCAGAACATAAGTAAATCAGTAAATAGTTTTTTGTAGTGAATTACTAATAACATCAGAAACCCTCTTCGGAGATGGAAAAGTATATGAATTCTGATGATACCTTGAGGTGCCTAGAAATTTTTAAACACAGTTTGTCTCTTAAAAAAAAAAAAAACCTTAGTGCTCATTTTTGTGTTTCAAGGGTAATTAATCACTAAATTCATGATTCAAGTGCATCTTTTATTCAGTGCCCATGTATTGAAGTGTAGCAAAAACCTTTTTGAATTGTTATGAATGAACAAGAATGTCTAGAAACACATAAAACCTTTACACTTTGTACTTTGAGTTTATGTATTGATTGCCATTAATTACCCTATTACCCTGATATCCTTTTATCAGGGTCTTTACTCGTGTACTGTTAACTAAGAGTATGTAACACTCTATTTCAGCAATAGGCTATATACTTACATTTTCAAAGCTTTCACTTTATAAAACTGAGACTGAAAAAAAAAACATAATGAAGGAAAAATGAGGTGGCCACGTGGATATATGCACAGTTATGAAACATCATGAACACAACAGAAACTAAGATTTCTGCCAAGCGTGAACAAGAAATAATTCTACCTGCCAACCAGTTGGTGAAGAAGTGCTGCAACAGTGTGGCAGGAACACACACTATGGATATCAGAAGGTCACTGAGTGCCAGAGAGCAAATAAAAAAGGTGCTGGGAGATTGCAGAGCCTTCCTGCGACATAAGAGAACCAGCACCGCCCCGTTACCCACCACCGCAAACCCAAAGATGAGCATGTAGAGCAGGCCAAAAACCGGAAGCAGGGCCCTAGGGAGTCTGGGCACAGCAACCAACGGAGGAATGGAGTATTCCTGGATGAACTGCCAGCGAGAGAGGTTGGAAGCCTTCAGCATGAGGTCCAGAAGATGGGCGGTCAGGTTCATATTGATGGTTTTCAGGGTGTAATTTGTTGGAAGAAATCCAGTATTGATACTTCCTTTATAGCACCCACTTTTATAGCAACAGTTCTTCTGATCTCTGGAGTCTGATCTTTGCGAATTCTCCACAGAGCCTGTTTAGTCTACATTAATAAATAGAGGTGTGTTATATTGATTTGTTTCTTTTTGAAAATGATGGCTTACAGGCATTTGTCATGGTTGTTCCTTGATGTTGTTGAAGGCTTTCATGCTTTTATCTCCTTTTGGGACAATCTGTTGTGTTCATTAACAGGCTGCTGCTCTGCTGGACCTCTCCAGTCAAAATGATGCCCAGTCAGTTTCATCTGTCTATAAAATAAAGTACACAACCAAACAGTGAAAAAAAAGCTTGTAATTAAGACTGTAACATTGACTTACCTGTCGAGAAGAAAGCAGGACTTCAGCGTGTCTTTTGAAATCTTTCTCTTGCATTAGCGCTATCCACCAGGAAAAAGCTATCCCATTTCGGCTGCTTTCAATGGATCTGAATCTGAATGATAATATGTTGTGGAAACACGTTGGCCTAGTACTTTTTGTCCCTCTCTGCTATTATAGTTTTTCAAGATGTGGGAACTATGGAAGCCTCAGTGGACCTATCCGTCCCATGTATATAGAAATGAATTCTTTGTTTACGAGGATAAGCCAAATAATTGGTAGAGGTATTTGTACACCACTGAGGACATATTTTTGAATACAAAATATTGATTCAAAACACGTGTGACAACTTGCCCCAACCTGCCATTTATAAAAAAAACATCCTTGTTCTGAGAACACAGTTGTGTAGAATCTACTTCCATACAGTGGATAACAAAATAGGCTACCCAAGCATTATTAAAATATGATGATAGGGACGTTGTAGTCTAGATGACAGAACTTTTATTTATTTATTTTACGTGAAAAATAGAGAAAGGCATGTTTGTGTTAGCCTACTTTGAAATGAATGACTAAACTTTATACTTACTAAGATGCAGCCCTTGAGACAACGTCACCTGATGATAGGGAAATTGTAGTTTAGATGACAGAACTTTTATTTATTTATTTTACATGAAAAATAGAGAAAAGCATATTTGTGTTGGCCTACTTTGAAATTAATGACTAAACTTTATACTAAGATGCAGCCCTTGAGACAACGTCACCTTGTGGCAACTTTCGTTCTCGTTCTCTCATTAAAAATGACTGCGATTAGCTATATTAAATATATTAAATGTAAACAGTAGGCTAAATTTCATTTACATTACAGAAAAAAATGTTTGATATGCATATTTTTTGTTAATACAAAAAAAATACAAGAAAATAAATATCCAATGTTAGCTATATCTATATCTTATTATCTATATAGCAGTATTAAACGTTAATCGGTTAATTTAGCATTTTATTTTTGCATTAGAAAGGATATGCTTATCAAAGGCTGTTAACCTGTTTAAAAATCGATTTCATTTTCACATCTAAACAGGCGACATGAGATGATGTTATAAAGTAACCGACACTACTAAATCGACACAATTTCCTCCAGCAGATCATAAAAATAATGGTAAATGTTTATGTCCACAGTTTAAAGAGAGATATTTTATAGAAATAACAAAAACACTGCGCGCACTTACTGTGATTGGTTCGGTGGCTCGTTATTCCTTTCAAAGTTTCTCAGACGCGATCTTGAACTTCTTCTCCCTTAATTGCCTCATTGAGATGCTTTGAAAACCAGCATCTTCTCCTCAACACACGGGTTTTATAATTTATTTATTTTCAACTGGAAACAGTCAGTCATGAGTTCCTCTTCCAAGACAGACAAACGACAGCCCAACATTCAACATCTGTGTGTTAGCCAACCAGCGACAGAGCAATAAACACTCCCCTGAGCTGCATCTGTCTGTCTGTCTGTCTTTTTGATCAGTGACAAAAAAAAAAACTATGCTGTTTGTTATAACATTTACAGCATAACAACAACTGAAGTTATGTTGACTACAATTTACAGTTTTTTATTCATTTTGGTACTATTTTCACAAGTAATACATTTTCAAAATTTGTAGTACAAAAATCAAAACGGGTCACACTTGTAAGCAGCTATAATTCTTTCAAAACCTGATGTAATGCTTTCAGTCAGTTACACTTTCTCAGTCCACATAATCATGATTTCAAACTCAAGATTATTGTAATATGTAATGAGAACATTTTGGTTTAATCACCGAAACATGACAGGATGATCTTCTTTCAGTTTAGTACTTTTAACAATCAGTTTATCCAACTGCAAAACAATGCAATACATGTTTCAAATCAGCCTTAAAAGTCAGTAAATTAATATGCTACAGAACTATACAAACAGATTACACAGTTTTCACATCAGGCAATACACTTACATTACACAACATTTACATAATCTATCATTTCCAAAATATCCATCCAATGTGTAATAAATCATTTGGGCCAATTAGTTTTTATTTTTTCAGATTGTAACATGGGTCTACTTTCTATAATTAAATGTAATTAAATGAGAACCAAACATAACATTTAGTGCACACATTACAGTAATTTGGATCAAGCCAGTCTCTCTAGCTGGTCGGTCAGCACAAGGCCACGGCCACCACTATGGGGTTGTCTGTCGATTATAGAGTATATATACTCTATATATACAGTATACTGTCAATAAATCATACTGTACCAATACTGTAACATGTCTAATGAATTTTCATGAATTTACATACAATTTACTGTAAATGTAACAGTATACATCCTCCAAACCTACCGGTTTTCTTGGCGAAAAGTTTGGATGATAGAATTGACAGTTGAACTTTTTAGATTTGGATCAAATCTGGCAGCCTCTGCCATAGTATGAATTCAATTCACTACATGATCAACAATGATGGCCCAGACTTTATTAGAGACAACAGTTCTGCCTCCCTCTGTCTGATGAACAACCCTTTCTCTGACCTTTCTTTTGGTGCCCATGCCCACCTCTCTGACGGATCCCTTGGCCACAAGCTCTTCCTATTTCTTGCTGTCTATCCTGCTCCATGTTGAAAGAAATGGCCAGTGTTTACACACCCACTTTCATTTATAGTGACCAATTTTGGTTGCAATAACGAGTATTCATCATGTGTGGTTACACATAATTTATATGTTCGTACAAACACAGTTTATTTCTTTAGTTCTCAAAATCCATACTGTATATTGCTGAAATAAAAATCTATAGGTTTACCAAACGGCTCAGTGATTAACCATTAAGATCAGTTGGATTAAGTGTTGGTCAAATGTATTTACGCAAGTCAGATGAGAAGCATATCAAAAGTATTGTGAGCATTGCATTGTGAAAGACAGTTACTCCATAAGGTATTTATTTGTTGACACACTGATTAGGTTTGGTGAAAAAGTGAAATTTTGTGCGTTGTACTTAATCAATTGAACTATGATTGTAAGTATAAGTGTTGTTTTCATACTCAAGCCTCAAAGCATGATTTCCAACTCTTTTCAACTTGCCGTTGAAGTAGTAGAAGTGATTATTTTCACCTTCAATTTGATTAACTTTATCCATATTACTTTGGGTAACTTGTTTTGAACTCTGATATTTTTTCTGGGGTGATGGTTGTAGTGCATTTGGCGACATGAATGTTAGCTCTGTTGAAGGCTCTTGTTTATATTTCACAGTTGAAGGTTCTTGTGGTCTTGGTGTTGTATTATAAAACTTATTTTTTATTATCTTCTCCTGGCATCTTTTCAACCCAGAACTGGTGCGGTGAATTAGTCCGAAGCAACCATCTTCATCAGTTTGCTGTGTCTCTTCAGTTTGTTCATGTTCTCTGGAAGGGGTTGATGTCACTGGTACATTAGTACTTTTCTCGGTTGTACATTCTGTTTCAAGAGACTCAGTTGTCATTATTGTCTCTGGTCTGGTCACGGGTGTTTTGTCTTCTGGTGTTTGTAACTCAATTTCTGTTGTACAATCTGTTTCGAGAGACTCAGTTGTCATTATTGTCTCTGGTCTGGTCACGGATGTTTTGTCTTTTGGTGTTTGTAACTCAATTTCTGTTGTACATTCTGTTTCGAGAGACTCAGTTGTCATTATTGTCTCTGGTCTGGTCACGGATGTTTTGTCTTTTGGTGTTTGTAACTCAATTTCTGTTGTACATTCTGTTTCGAGAGACTCAGTTGTCATTATTGTCTCTGGTCTGGTCACGGATGTTTTGTCTTTTGGTGTTTGTAACTCAATTTCTGTTGTATGTTTTGTTTCGAGAGACTCAGTTGTCATTATTGTCTCTGGTCTGGTCACGGGTGTTTTGTCTTCTGGTGTTTGTAACACAATTTCTGTTGTACATTCTGTTTCGAGAGACTCGGTTGTCATTATTGTCTCTGGTCTGGTCACATTGAAATCTTCTGCATATTTTCTGGATGTGGTTGGCATCACTGGCTCATTTGTGATTGTTGAAACATTGTTGTCTGAAATAAAATCATTATAAAACATATTTTTTAATATCTTCTCCTGGCATCTTTTCAACCCTGAACTGGTACGGTGAATTAGTCCGAAGCAACCATCTTCATCAGTTTGCTTTGCCTCTTCAGCTTCTTTGCTTGGTGGTGATTGAATTTCCGTTCCTGGCACTGCCATTGTTGGTGTCATTTCTTGCTTTTCCATTGATGGTTTCTCTGGAGTTTCTTCAGGTTTTTCTATTGAGCTCCTTGAGTCTGTCGTACATCCTGCATCAGGAAGCAATAATGTAATTTCATGTTCAGTCACTAAGACCATTTGTTCATGTTCTCTGGAAGGGGTTGATGTCACTGGTTCATTAGTACTTTTTGTTGCAGGATCTTCCGACCTTAAATCACCAATTTCTGACTGTCTTTCTTCATATGTGGTGTCTGTTTTCTCCATATGTGTTTTATCATCTGGTGTTTGTAACACAATTTCTGTTGTACATTCTGTTTCGAGAGACTCAGTTGTCATTATTGTCTCTGGTCTGGCCACATTGAAATCTTCTGCATATTTTCTGGATGTGGTTGGCATCACTGGTTCATTTGTGATTGTTGAGACAGTGTTGTCTGAAATGAAATAATCATAAAACAGATTTTTTATTATCTTCTCATGGCATCTTTTCAACCCAGAACTGGTTCGGTGGATTAGTCCGAAGCAACCATCTTCATCAGTTTGCTTTGTCTCTTCAGTTTCTTTGCTTGGTGGTGATTGAATTTCCACTCCTGGCACTGCCATTGTTGGTGTCAGTTCTTGCTTTTCCATTGATGGTTTCTCCGGAATTTCTTCAGGTTTTTCTATTGAGCTCCCTGAGTCTGTCATACATCCTGCATCAGGAAGCAATAATGTAATTTCATGTTGAGTCACTAAGACCATTTGTTCATTTTTTTTGGAAGGGGCTGAAGTCACTGGTTCATTAGTGTGTGACTGTCTTTCTTCATATGTGGTGTCTGTTGTGTTCATATGTGTTTTATCTTCTGGTGTTTGTAACACCATTTCTGTTGTACATTCTGTTTCGAGAGACTCAGTTGTCATTATTGTCTCTGGTCTGGTCACGGGTGTTTTGTCTTCTGGTGTTTGTAACTCAATTTCTGATGTACGTTTTGTTTCCAGAGTCTCAGTTGTCATTATTGTCTCTGGTCTGGTCACTGTGAAATCTTCGGCATCTTTTGTGGAAGTGGTTGGAGTCAATGGTTCATTTATGACTGTTGACTCAATAATGTGGGAAAAGAAATCAATAGATTTTGTCTGTCTTTCTTCAGATGTGGTGTGTGTTCTCTCCACGGGTGTTTTGTCTTCTGGTGTTTGTAACTCAATTTCTGTTGTACATTCTGTTTCGAGAGACTCAGTTGTTATTATTGTCTCTGGTCTGGTCACTGGTGTTTTGTCTTCTGGTGTTTGTAACACAATTTCTGTTGTACTTTGTGTTTCGAGAGACTCAGTTGTCATTATTGTCTCTGGTCTAATCACGGGTGTTTTGTCTTCTGGTGTTTGTAACTCAATTTCTGTTGTACATTCTGTTTCGAGAGACTCAGTTGTTATTATTGTCTCTGGTCTGGTCACAGGTGTTTTGTCTTCTGGTGTTTGTAACTCAATTTCTGTTGTACATTCTGTTTCAAGAGACTCAGTTGTCATTATTGTCTCTGGTCTGGTTGCTGTGAAATCTTCGGCATATTTTGTCGAAGTGGTTGGAGTCAATGGTTCATTTGTGACTCTTGACTCAATATTGTGGGATAAGAAATCAGTAGATTTTGACTGTCTTTCTTCATATGTGGTGTGTGTTCTCTCCACGGGTGTTTTGTCTTCTGGTGTTTGTAACTTAATTTCTTTTGTATATTCTGTTTCGAGAGACTCAGTTGTCATTATTGTCTCTGGTCTGGTCACGGGTGTTTTGTCTTCAGGTGTTTGTAACTCAATTTCTGTTGTATATTCTGTTTTGAGAGACTCAGTTGTCATTATTGTCTCTGGTCTTGTCACGGGTGTTTTGTCTTCTGGTGTTTGTAACTCAATTTCTTTTGTATATTCTGTTTCTCGAGACTCAGTTGTCATTATTGTCTCTGGTCTGGTCAATGTGAAATCTTCGGCATCTTTTGTGGAAGTGGTTGGAGTCAATGGTTCATTTGTGACTATTGACTCAAAATTGTGGGAAAAGAAATCAATAGATTTTGATTGTCTTTCTTCAGATGTGGTGTGTGTTCTCTCCTCAGGTGTTTTGTCTTCTGGTGTTTGTAACTCAATTTCTGTTGTACATTCT